AGCCTAAGTATGAAAAGCAGAGTCAGTGCAGGGGGAATGGCAATATTCATCAAATAAATTCTTTACGTCAGCTTTATGGTTTATATCACCAAGTGACATAAACTCGGGTAACAAAGGTTGGGCAGAATGTCGTTGGAAATGCTTTAAATCAAATACTTTAAATGACACATAATCAACACATTGTTTTAAAAGCAAATGGGCCCTTCAAAGAGGTTCTCCTCCCCCTTCAGTAATTTACCCGAGAACAGGAGCCGGATTAAACAGCAGAGCCATACAAGCCATGACATGCGCCACTATGGTCCGAAAGAAGTCTGCCTCACATTATTGTGACAAATTGCCAGGGTGCAAAACACTATGTACAGCATATACCAATTTCATACAATACTCATAACCATCTATCTACGCGGGAGTGGGGGATCATTTTGGGAATGGGCACTTATGGCCACACGGTGTGGGAAAGTGTGAATTTATTTTCAGCTTATTCTCTTTATAGTCATATTTTAAATAAATAAAAGCTATTCCCATTTGTGGAGGAGGAGCCGGAGAGGACGCCCTGCGAAGCCGAGGCCCCCCCTGCAGCCGACAGGGACGAGGGCGCACAGCGGGCGGAGGGGCGGCGGGCAGGGGCGCGGCGGGGGACACACTGCGGCGGCGGCGGCGACTTGTCCCGCCCGCGTGTTGCTCCGCCCTCCGCGGCCAGAAAGGCGCCCCGGACGGGCCCGGGAAGAAGCCGGACTGGGGACCATGGCGGCGCCTGGCGCGCTGCTGGTCATGGGCGTGAGCGGCTCGGGGAAGTAGGTCCCGGGGCCGGGGGCGCGGGGCGCGCCGGGGAGGAGGCGGCGCGGGGCGGTGGAGGGCAGACGGGTCTCGGTTCCGGGTCTGCGGCGACGGGAAGGCCCTGGGGAGATTCCGCTCCTCTTTGCAGATGGGGAAACTGAAGCCCGGGGCACCTGCCCCTCTCCCCACCTTCCAACCTGCTCGCCCCGGGGCACCTGGCCCGCGACCACGTCCCAGACCGGGACTGTCTATACCCGGGGAGGCTCTATCGAAAGCCCTTTGTAAAGAGGTGCCTGCTGGGGCGCAAATGGAGTAAAAGGCTCCCCTAGCACCTGGAGCGGCTGGGGCGGTCGCAAGGGCTCGTTTGGGGGCCTGTTGTCAGTCAGAAAGAGGTGGCGGGGTGCAGGGCTCGAAGCGCGGGAGCAAACCTGGTCCCAGGCTCCTACCGACCTCGGTCAGGCTGGGCAGAGCGGCAGCTCCCTCATCGCGAGGCCCGGGCCTTTTCTGATTACATTTGCAAGTGAATTGAACCTTCCTGGTCGATTGTTTTCCCCTTTCTCTGATCAGTGTTTATCAGCTAAAGCTGGAAGGACTCTGTTACTACGGAGGAAGGTCCCTGAAGGCTTGTGAGGAAAGAGGAACGTTGGCTACCACAAAACCTCTGCCCAGTCCTGTCTGGCCAACTTGGGGGCTAGTGGCGCTAGCCTTTGGCTTCCCGATTAGACCAAAACGTAACTGTATCCTTTGTCAGGAGAGACAGCTACTGCAGCTTTCCACCAGAGGCAGTAAAAGAACTGAAGTAAAATACTATAATCATCAAAGGCCTATAGGAACTGCCCATGTGGTCAGGTGTATATTATTACATTCTTTCTTGCTGTCGGTAGGTAGGTTTAGCTTTCCAAAACTATTCTTGCCTTTTTTAGCCTCAAATCTTGAGACATTAAAATAATTTTGGGAAATCTTAACTGAAATTAAAATAAAACATGGAGTCTGAAAACTCCCTGTTGTATAAGTTGAAGAAATTGGAGAATGTATGCTTGCTGCTCTGGCGAGATGAGGGGGAGTCCTAGCTGCCTGGTTGTGTGAGCTTGGGCAGTACCCTTCTCTGCCTTGGATCTGATGACGAGGGTCTGAACCAGATGGTTTATATGGTTATAATTATGGTTATGATATTCATGCACTCAGTAAATATTTATTGAGCTCAATCCTTACACTATGTCACTGATATAGTGACTAGGACAGATAAAACTCCTGCCCTCAAAGAGTTTACATTCTAGTATGGGAGACATGCACAGCTGGGGAAAGGGCATTCTAGGTAGAGGGAAGGGCTAAGTGGGAGATGAGATCAGAGAAACAATGCAGGTGAAGAGAAGCGGTCATATGCTGGCGGTATCTTGAAGGTAGAGCCAACAAAAAGATGTGTCGATGGGCTAGATGTAGAGAGAGGAGTCGAGGATGATTTCAAGGTTTGTTTGATCCCTTTATTAATTCAGTATTTTTCTCAAAAAAGAAACATCTATAGAACAGGCATGAAAAAACTTTCTGAAGAAATTCAGGACTTCATTGAGATCTTATATCTTGCTTTTGAGGGGGGGAAAATTGGTAACTGGGTAATTATTTAAATTCCTGAAGAAAATTAAAGTCATGCTGTAGACTCCAGGGTCAAGAGCATGCCTCTCGTTGCGTCAATATCCTAAATTTATTGGTTGTAATACCGCGGGGGCAGCCATCCTTGGATGGAGGGAGACACCACGCAGGCCGGGAAAGGGCAGTCGTTTGAACATCTGTGTCTTCTCCGCAGATCGACCGTGGGCTCCCTGCTGGCATCCGAGGTAACGTGCTCTAATGCCTTCCACATGTGAGTTCCGCTGTGTTGCCGCACTGCTTCTCTCCTTTTCTCTCCCTTTCTTCTGGCCTGTAGTGGTTTGTAAAACTCACCATAGGCGCCTCCCTAGGGCTTGTGAAACCCACTGGAGCAATTTAGTCTTTCTCCTTGGTGAGTTCCCAGTGGCAATGAATGAGAAACGGAGCTGCAGGAGCCCCGTGAGCAGGGATGTGGAGTGGCCTTCCAGACCTCCCTCCTGCAGCTGCAGGATTGGCCTGGCTGGTGGTGAAGCAGGGGGAGGGGTGGGCAGCACTACCTGCCACATACGCCTTTCCTTCACTTTGTTCTTAAAGCTAGGATGGAAATTCTATGATGCAGATGACTATCACCCAGAGGAAAATCGAGTGAAGATGGGAAAAGGGATTCCACTGAATGATCAGGTAACGTTAGCGATTTCCAACACAGATATTCCAGCTGGGTGACACAGGGTGAGATCTTTGCAGGGCTTGGTGTAGTTCAGTTCCTGAGTCACGATATAACTCATGGACAGGGCTCCCCAAGCCAGGAGCACAGTGAGGCCTCCACGCATGTTAACTTTGGCCCTGAACTTCTCTCTCAGCTCAGCGTCAGGAGTGATGATGCACCCACCCTCTGCCCCAGCTTGGGCAGGATCCCCCAGAACACTTCGTTGAAGAACTTTTATCTGCAGAATGCAATCCCTGAGAGCCTCATACATGGGGAAGTTCATCTTCTCTTCCCAGGTCCTATCAGCCTACCACCATCACCAGAGTGATCTTTGCAAATTCAAGTCTGGCCCTTTGGACATTTCCCACCCATCTCAGGGTAAAGACCAAACAACTAAACTCCTAAATGTGCGTGGTCAGGACGGACTGACCCTGTCCCACTCCACTCTCTTTAGGTGCTGTGCACCCCCTCCCTATCTCCCCTGGAGCCGTAGTGGCCCTTTTCAGTCCCTTCTACTGCCATGTTCCTCCCCAGGGCCTTGGCATCTGCTGGTCCTACGGCCTGGAAGGTGCTTCCTTCCTCTCCTCACTGAGTTAACCCTGGTCATCCTGTACATCTCAGCTCCTGTGCCTCTTCTTTAAGGAAGCCCTCCCTAACCTCCTTAAGTAAAACCTCCTGCAATAAACTCTCATAGCAGCATATCCTTATTGTCCCTGTCCCAGTTGCAAGGTGGCATTTATGGTATGAGAATTAGATTAATATTTATCTCTGCAACTAGATTTCACTGCCAAAAGGGCAGGGACTTTGGCCATTTCTGTTAACCACTGTGTATCCCCAGGGCCTGACATGCAGTAAACGTCAGAGAATATTTGTGGCATATTTGTGGTGAATGAATGAATGAGGAGTGAATGATTAGCACTTCATTCCTGTATGCAACACCATGAGGCCATTTCCTAGAGGGTTTTTCTCAAGCCAGAGTTACAAACTGTGGATTCGTTGGCTTAGCTAGCTGCAGCTCAGGAGACACACTGAGGGCAGGGTTGAGGTCTCGGTCCACAGAGCAACTGTGAGCGGGGACCCCAGCCAGGCCCACATGTCAAGTGTGTCCAAAGGGCAGGAAGGAATGGAACTGGCCAAAGACCAGCGCTGTTTTCCCTCAGTGTGAACTTGGCTCGCGCCCAGTTGTGCCCCCAGTATCTCACTCTCTTCCCTGTGCCCTGCCTTGAAGGACCCGAGTGAGTAAACCATTAGTAGGTCCAATTGAATTGCGTTCTAAGGGTGTGTACTTCTCTGTTTCAGAGAGTGCTGCTTGAGTTTGCAATGATTCAAGCCTTGAACCATCAAAATTTAAGTGTGTAACATTTGACTTTAGAAGATAGGAGGAGTGAATCATAAAAGAATTACAGAGTAATAATTTAAACATAATACTGCTATTATACTAGAGATAATAGACATAATGTAGATAACCGGGCTCTACCACTAAGCTTGTGTGACCTTCAACAAATGGGTTAGTCTCTCTGTGCCTAATTTTCCTCCCCTGAAGTAGGGATAGTACCATTTCTTTGGGTTCTTGAGAAGGTTAAATGAGATAATACAAAAAAAAAATATGCACAGAAAAGTACCCAATGCATTCAGTAAATATTTATTATTGTTGCTAGTATTGTATCTATATAGACATGTGTGTGACATTTCTATAGAGTGTGTAAAATGTGCTGCGCCAGTGTTATTTTTCTCCTTGGTGAGTTGCAAGTAAGAGTTAAAGAACAAAGTACAGCAACCCAAATGGATGGACTTTAAAATGGCATTTAAACGTCCTTCCTCTTATTCTCAAGTGAGGCTTGTTAGTGGGCAGGATGGATAGGAGGGGAGAATTCAGAAGAGGAATTTATTGTACAGAAGACAAGGTTATTAATTACCGGAAGAAACATAACAAGTTCCTAAATATATTCAGGAGAAACTGCAAATTAGCCAGAACGGGGCAAGTGGTAGAACGGCAAATGGTTTAGTCTTGACATGAGCCCAGCCATTCTAAGAGGGAAGGTTTGGGTCATAGCTGGGCTGACACTGATGCCCCTCCTGATCACCCTGACAACCTGCCCCGCCCTCTCTGCTACTGTAATGAGGATCAAGTAGAGTCCTAGGCAGAGGCAGGGGTTCTGCCTTGAGAAGAGTCTTGGGAAGGTTTGGGGAGGGTTTTGTGCTCAGAGAGCTGATGTGTGAAGAGAAAGAAACTGAATTGAATATGCCAAAGGCTCCTTCAGTCTATTTAAATGTACATTAATTTAAATTAAATAAAATGTAAACTCCAGTTCCTGGGTTGTAGTGCCACATTACAGGTGCTCAATAGCCACATGTGGCTGGTGGCTACCAACCCAGACAGTGCAGACAGAGGACATTTCGTCACAAAAAAGCTCTATTGGACAGCACGGGTCTAGGAAGATATGTTATTAGCATGATGATGAGGAAGAATTTCCAAGCTGCTATTCAGTGAGGCCCCACTATGTGCCCGGCCCACACTGTCCTGGCAGCCCACAGTAACACTTGAGTAGACTTCAAAGCCTGTTTAAAGGAAGGTTTTTTTGAGAAATGTTTTTCCTGATTATAAATGTAACACTTATCCTGTACAGGAAATTCGGAAAGTGGTGACATATTCTTTCACAGAATACATCACTCTTGGTTTCATCTGCCAAAAATACCTACTGATTGAATTTTGAGAGGTTTTCCCCCTATGTTTCTAGGGGTACATATTCTTTTTACATGCGTTCTTTCCTCTATGGTCTTAAGTTCACTTTCGCACCAAGTAAAACCAGCCCCTCTCCCCTTCTCCCCTCCCCCTCTTTCCTTCCCCTCTGCCTCCCCTAGCAGTGTGCTGGACATACTCCACCTCCATCTGATCCTCTGAGTTCCACCTCCCTTTCTCCCTTTAACCATTATCCCCTTCCAGAGGATGCTTTCTTTCTTTAGATGTTACCATCAGATCACTGAAACCATAGGCCCAGGAATCCTTCTCTGTCCTCAAGATGTTCTGACTTAACTCTTGTGCCCATGACTTCCAAGACTGGGCTGGTGGTGGTGGAAGCGCCAGTCCCTTGCATGTAGGGACTATCAGAAATGAGATGGCCTTGAACATCAGATCCAACAGCAGAGATACCCATTTGGGTTGTGTTGTTTCCTGTCTTTCCCCTATGACTCCTTTTGTGTGTGTGACTTTCATAATTTATTATATTGTCCATAGTAACTATTCACAAAGTTGAATGAATTTATCTTAATATCTCCTCCTCCTTGCCCCAATTTCTATTTCTGTAAAGGGGAGAACTCTCTCTCTTTTCCACAAACATTATGAACATAAAATTTGGAGCGCAAGTCTTTCCTAATACCTTTACAATAAAGTCCAAACTCTTTAGCAGATCACTCAGGGTCTCGATCATATAGTCCTGACAGTTTCTCCTGACCTTCTTCACATTATCAGTGTCCACACCTCCTGTTCACCAGTGCTAAGCATGTGCCTCATCCATGTATTCAAGAGTCTTGGTACAGTCTTGGATTATGCCCTTCCCTCTGTTTCACAGGTGCTGCTTCAGTTGAAATCTTTATCCTTCAAGATTTCGCCTGCCTAGGGCCTGATCACAATTGACCTCTCCCCCGCTACTGTGCTATTCTAGCCCTTTTCTTAGTATATTTCTTTTAGCCCCCATCACTGTCCTGTGGGTAATTTAGCTGATCATCTACCCATCTGTCTTTTCTGCCAAACTGTGGCCCCTTTGAGGACAAGGACTACACCATTCATATTTATATCCCCAATGCTCGATATGGTGCTTTGCACATATTAAGGATTCATTGTTTGTGGAATTAAATCCCATTGCATACCAAATTCATGAATTAAAGAAAGCTCTTTTTAAAAATTCAAAGTTGGAAATAAATATCTCATTATTAAATCAGCCAAAAGTAATATTTAAAGTAAAGTCTATTCCATCTGTTATTTAAATGTCAAAGCAGCTCAATGAATTACATATAATCCCACATTTTACAGATAAACAAAGGGAGGCACAGAGAAGTTAAGTCACTTGAGCAAAGCCACATAGTTCAGGGAGTCTCTCTAACCTCAAAGACCCCACTTTCCCTAATAGTAGGTTTAAAGTTCCTGATAATCCATAGAACAAATAAGTACAAGAAGTGAATTAGGGTTGGTTAAATGGAGAGAGAGAGAGGGTAAAAGTGAGGGTGAGGATTAGAGTAGGAAGGAGAGGTGAGGCCCTCAATAAGCATATCCATTGTAGGGGCCTCAGCCTTTAAGGGTATCTGAGGTGAGTGATGCTGTGGCCTGGCCTGCTGCAGACCAGGGATGAGAATTCTGGCTTCCACACGGGAGTCTAGTCAGTCTCTGGAGCTGCTTTGGAAAAACCCTTCTCCCTGTGGCCCCATGTGATTCTCCAAGAAAGAAACCCAATCATTTAATTATGACTCAATACTTGGAAACTTCATCTATAAAGGACAAAGTGCTTCTCTTTTATCTCCAACTTTCTTTCATTGTTTTTGAGACCAACGGACCCAGACCTTACAGATGCACAGTGATTAAACTGATCAACATACATTCTGATTTTGCAAAAGTCTGAAAGCATCTATTTTTGTTTAAATAGTTTTATATTTCTATTCATTAATTATAGTTTTCATAGTGGAGCTTCTGAGGAATTTTATTATGACTAAATGAACCAATGTGCCTTTTTCTTGACTAAAGCATATATTGCACTATTAAAACAATTTTTTGTAAAAAGCATGGATTCAAATAAAGGTTTATATCCTTGGACAGGATAGAAAGCTCATCACCCAAACATGTTTTGTTATTTTTGTTTCATTATTATGAACTATTTTAGGCGTGTAGAAAGTGTAAAGAATAATACAGTCAACGCTCAGCTAAATGAAATAACGTATTTGTTTCCTAAGCCATAAAATAACACAGAGATTGATCTCCACTTTTAAAGCACAAATAGAGACATTTGTGCAGAGGGAGATGAAGCTGTAAGCCTGTATGAAGCATGGAGATGAACCTGAATGTCTTGCATAAGTCTTGAAAACTATTGTTGAGTGAGGATTACAAATATTTCCACTCGCTGGATTCAAGCAGCAGCAAAGAATCTGGCTGTCTCCCTTGGATCACAGGTGGGAAAGTCATTCTTGAGAACCCAAGACCTTACTACACCCAATTCACATTATATGGAAGATACCAAATTGAAAATATAAAGCTGATCTGGAATTGATGAAACTACCAATGGAAATGTTTCCAATACTCAGCACTCCCACCAGGGAAGAAAATCTAAAGATGAGCTTACAATCAGAAATTACAAATCATACAAGTAAATGAACCACTATAAGGAAGAATCAGCAAAAGTCTCTTCCTGCTGTCTCCAGTGTTGCAGTTACCAAAACTGAGTCAAGTATAGAAGACCTGAAGACAATAATGCTTATTAAGGAAATTGAATCTATCATCAAGAAATACCCCTCAAAAAAGGACCCAGGCCCAGATGATTGGCCTAAACAATAGGTATTTATTTCTCACAGTTCTGGAGGTCCCAACATCAGGATGTTGGCATGGTCAGGTTCTTGGGGAGGGCACTCTTTCTGGCTTGCAAAAGGCCGGCTGCCTTCTTACTGTATCCTCACCTGGGGATTGGTGGGAGAGAGTGTGCACTAGCTTCCTCGTCTTTTTATAAGGGCGCTAATGCCATGAGCACTCCACCCTCATCATCTCATCTAAACCTAATGACTTCCAAATACCATCACATTTTGGGGTTAGGGCTTCAACATATAAATTCTAGGGGAGATGAACAGTTACTCCATAACAATAACATATGGCATACAATATACAAAAATAGCAAAAGAGGGAAAGCTACGCTACTCATTTTATAAGGCTAGTAGAACCTTGATACCAAAATTTAATACAACTATACAAGAAAAAAAATACAACAAAATCCTAAATAAAATGGTAGTAATCAAATACGTAAAAGCGATAACATTTTAAAATGCATCATGTTTCCGGAACACAAAAATAAAGAGTGGGGCACACTGGGGAAATGGTTGAGACATAAAACGAGATTGAGTTGAAAATTGTTGAAGCTGTGTTATGAGTGCACAGAAGTTTGTTTTGTACTATTTTGTCTGTTTAAAGTTTTCATAATAAAGTGTTTCTTTTTTTAAATGCATTATGGCCAATCAGTATTTACCCCAGGAAAGAAGAACAAACATGTCTCAGGAAAGTTATTTTTTTGTGAAACACTGTAGGGTGTCCTATGTAAACTTCTATCTTCTCTTTGGAAAAATATAAATTTCTCGCAACACTTTTAATCTGAGGGGAGTTTTGATCTTGGAGGATTTAGAGAATAGGACCGGGATAACTGACATAAGGGGTTTCTTTGACTACCTCCCTGCATTTCAGATCAAAGGCACCTAAAGAATCATGCAATACAATAAAAGGAGATTTGTAAACACATCAGAGCCAGGGAAAACATATATACAACAGGGATGTTAAGATGGGGGAGATACATACTGGTATTTTAGGGCAATTTTTATTATTGTGAAAAGAGCCCCTGGTGTCTGACCCAGGAAAAATTCCTGTTCAACTGCCCAGGGACTTGAGCCCTAAGCCTATGTTTGGCCTATTTCTCAAAACCACTGTGATCTCTCTGGAGCTCGGCATAGACGAACATGATTAACTACATTTCTGTACAAACACTACCTGTCAAAGTCATTTTGTGTCTGCTTTAATTTCAGGACAGGATTCCATGGCTCTGCAATTTGCATGACATTTTATTAAGGTAAGAACATCAGGCCTTGGCATAGGCCAGTGAGTAAAAAAGACCCATCAGAAAGTATAGAGAAAAAAATACACTCTTAAAATCACAACTGACTGATGATAAAGGATCCCAGAAATGGGCTGTGTTTCTATCAAATAATCAACAATGGTTTAAACCAGCTACAGACGTGTCATTCAGTCTGGTCCTGGAGACAAACCTAGACAGCTCCAGTCTTGGTTAGCTACTTGGCTTCCATAAGCCTGTTTCTTCATCTGAAAACGAGGATAGACGTAGTTCCTAGTCACAGATTATCGCGAGGATTTAGTGAGATGAAGCATGGGTGGCACTCAGAACAATATCGATATACAAAGTGCACGAAAAATGGTAACATGCTGCACCTGAGCCACATCCTATATCCACAGGAGCCGAGCAAACACCTTGATCAACTTTTTCCTTACCACAGTTCTATGGACAGGTCCCCTGAGTAGCCCCCTTTAACAGAGAAGGAACTGATGCTCAGGGAGGTACACACCTTGCCCATGATGGATCAGTTAACTAGTAGAAGATCTTTACCTCAAAGCCAGGACTGCCTGATAACTTAACTGCCATTTTGTAGCGCCTTCCACTGGCAGGGAAGTAGGCCTGGACTACAATCTAGACTTGACACCAAGTATTTTAAATGACTTCATTCATTAGCACCTCCTCCTCTTCCCTTTCTTTTTAACAGAGATGTGGCCACAGGACAGCATGTGGTTCTAGCCTGTTCAGCTCTGAAGAAAGTGTACAGAGACATCTTAATACGAGGAAAGGATGGTGCACCTCAGAAGTGTGCTGAGCCGGGGAAGGAAGAAAGGCTGGCTGAGGTGAAGCTCCTTGTGGTCCATCTGAGTGGGTCCTTTGAGGTCATCTCTGGACGCTTACTCCAAAGAAAAGGACATTTTATGCCCGCTGAGTTACTGCAATCCCAGTTCGATGCTCTGGAGCCCCCATCAGCTCCAGAAAATTTCATCCAAATCAGTGTGGACAAAAATCTTTCAGAGATAATTGCTACGATTTTGAAAATTTTTAAATGAAATGTAAGTTTCGTATCAGTGGTCCAGAACAGAATTAGGCATAACTTTCTTTGTATCCTATCCCAAACCATGTTCCAGCATCCTTGCTGATACCGTATCCTAAATTCTAGTGAAGGTGATCAAACCACAATATGTTGAGATATGCTTGTTGGGGTGTATTTTTAGGAATTTGTGATATTCTTGGCATCATGCTCTGGCACATTCAGAGAAGAGGAGAGGGAACTCTGGAAGGAAAACGTCAATTGAAATTTAAATTCGTATGATCCAATCAAATGATCAGAGGATATTATATGATCGATGCTGAAATCACTGCCTTAGAACATTCTTGATCATGCTGCCTTCAGACAAATAAATGAAACCTGGATATCCCTGGCATCCCTTGGAAATTAGTCTTTGGAGCACATGTCCAAAATCGACCACTCAGCAGCAAGTTATTTTGAACCACACACCTCCTAATCTGTCCTTCGGTCATTTCAAGGTAATAAAAAGCACATGTATTGGGTTGTCATGATGTGTTTTTTCTGTTTTTTGTTGCAAAAATGTGTCATGACTTGTTGACAACCCAATAGTTCACAAATAAAGAAAACTGCAAAGATGGAACTTGAGTGAGTGAGCGTGGGACTCGCTGACCCAGTCTGGCCGTCCGTATTTTACAGAGACCTTTGAAACCAGTCAGTCCATAAAGTAGGGAGATCAGCACATCTGCCCTCCTGCTGTAAAAGCCATCAGTGATGGACACTAGGCGTGCAAAGAAGGAACACCAGAGCTCCTATGGCCAAGACGTGAAACGAAACCTTCCAATGGGCAGCCCTGTGCTGGTGGCATCTGGGCTGTGAGGCTGCACAGGAGCTTGGAGGTGCTGGGTACATTGCTGGCACACAGTTTCCTGGGCACCAGCCAGGCAAGTTGCAATCTGGCCAGCATGCACTGGGTTTGAGCCCTTCCCCTTTGGGGCTCCAGGAAGACAGCTCCTTATCCCTCTCTCCTAACTTGGGCCACAGGACCCAGCCACTCTGCAGGCCCTGGCTCTGGCCAGAAAGTTTTGGAACCAATCATCTGTTTTCTTTCACAAGGGTATGCAGTTTTTGTTGTGGGAACTACAAACAGAATGCTTGTGTGGGGTGCCAGTGGGATTAAAGGGCCCTTCTGGGTGGACAGACCTTGCCTGAGACATTGTAGAGGCCAGACTATCTGTGGCCCCTTCTGCCCGGAGTCCGTTTATATCAACCCTCATATGTAGGGTCCAGTCAACACTCCAGCTGGATGAGTCACCCCAGCCACACTGAAAGGACTCAATCAGTCCGCTGTCCTCAGTGAGTCTATGCTGGGTACTGTGAGGGGCTCTCTGGAGGGTTTGAGGACCTGGAACACAAAGCCCTGGCTCTCAGGTCGCTTACAGTTGGGGGTAAAGATAGGGCATCTCATATTCTCTGGCCCAGGCCAGCGTTCTCAGTGAAGGCAGTTCTTCACAAAAAAGAATTGGTTTTCAAATATCCCACCAGACATTCATGTGGAATTAAATGAAAAAAACTTGTTTATAATTATAGGAGAGCGCACAGAATCTAACTCCGTTTTATACATAAATATTTTTTTTTGCAGTTTTAATATCCACTGAAATTTCCAAGACTGCAATAAAGCGACGATTGTATTCCATTTCATTTTTAACTTTACCAAGAGTTGTTTACCATTTCAGAAAAACCATGGTGTATTTCTGTCATGAATACAACACACCTACATCCACCGGCGTTTGTAACTGTTCGTTCAGTGATCCGCCAATGGGCACAAGCATCCAACTACTCCATTGTGTTTGTCTAGTGTAGCCATGTCCAAGCCTTACATATTGAAACCCATTCGTTCATGACAAGTTACTTTCCTTTTTTTGTCCTTTAGAGTTAGGCATCATATTTATTATTTGCTTGGATAAGCTTTATTAGCAACTAGTTTCACTTTCAGGATGGTAAGGGGGCATTAGAAAATACTTGTTAAAAAAACAAGCAAACAAAAAACAGCCTTGAGTCTGGTGGGGGTTGGGTACCTGAGTAATTGTTCCCCAGCACGGCCATAGGGAGGACAGTAAGCCAGTACTGCCCTCTGGCGGCCTAGGGGGACACATACACAAACTGCTCTCCCGATCCTGAACACCCCTCCAGCAGCCAAGGGTCGTAACCCTGGGTCAAAGGCAGTGGAATGCTGCTCCCCGCCCAGCCCTGACCTCACCCCTGCCCAGCCTCTATGACCTAGGAAGAAGGGCCAGGCCAGAACTGTTTGTAACGGCTCAAAACAGATGCCAGGGAAAGATCTCAATCCTGCAAATACCAGTCACCACCCACTCTGGCAGGGCTCTCCATCTTGCCTTCTTCCACTCCCCGCCACTGGAGAGGTTCCAGTTAAAGATTTTCCTCTCCTATAAAACGGGGACACTCCCTGCCCCATAAGGTCGTGAGAACTGATATAATACACGCAAAGTGCTGAGACCAAAACTTAACACACTAACTGTTCGACGAATGTTAGCTCTTGTTATACTTGTCATCCCCTGGACTCTGAGGGAGTGTGACCATAGGACAAAAACTCCCACTCCTGTTTTTCTGACTGGGGGGAGCTTATGAACCCTTCTAAGTATGTGAATCTTAAGTCTTTGGGCTCTGATAAATCTTCCTTCTTAACCCCTGCCAGGGTTTCATTCCACCCCTCCCCAACCCTTGGCCAGGTCAAATCAGACACTTACACAATGTTACAGCAGTATTATTCACAATATCCAAATGGAAGTGCCCATGAACAGATGAATAAAATGCGGTATACATCCACACAATGGAATATTAGTCAGCCATAAAAGGGAATGAAGTACTGATATATGCTACAACATGGACGAACCTTTAAAACATGCTAAGTGAAACACCAGACACGAAAGGTCACATACTACATAATCCCATTTATATGAAATATCCAGAGTATGTAGATCCAGAGTCAGAAAGCAGTGGTTACGAGGGGCTGGGGGAAAAGGGGAATGGTTGAATGACTGTTTAATGGCTATGACACTTCTTTTCGGGGGGATGAAGAAGTGCTGGGGGATTATTTGTATTTTTTGGTAGAAAACAATTAGCTCCTACTCTCCGGAATCAATTCCCTCTCCATACACACAGGGTCATTCCCATTAGCATACAAACATGCTCTAGTACTTACCATCTTAAAAGAATATAAAAAGGCCAACTTCCTCTGCACACCACCACCCCCCTCACCAGTTACTGCCCCCATTTCTGTGATTCTCTTTACTTCAAAACTGTCTCCTAATATCTCCTCGGTCCACTCTAAGGTCCTTGACACTATTAACAATTTTTTTGTACTATTTTTTTTTAATCCATGCACTTATTTTTAAAAAATTTCACCCCCACTCCCCTCCCTTTTGGCAACCATCAGCTTGTTCTCCAGTTTGTTTTGTTCGTTCGTTTTTTTTCTTAAGATTCCACGTGCAAGTGAAATCATGATTATTTGTCTTTCTCTGCCTTATTTCACTTAGCATAATACCCTGTAGGTCTATCCTTCTTGCAAATGGCAACGCTTCATTCTTTTTTATTGCTTAGTAATATTCCAGTTTATATATACACATCTTCTTTATCCATTCCTCTATGGATACCTAGGTTGCTTCCATGTCTTAACTGTTGTAAATAATGCTACAATGAACATAAGGGTGCATATATATTTTCGAATTAGTGTTTGGGGTTTGTTTGGTTTTTTTGGATAAATACCCAGAAGTGGTATTGCTGGGTCATATGGCCACTCTTTTTCATTTTTTAGAGGAATATTCATACTGTTTGTTCCATAGTGGCTGCACCGTTTACAATCCCACCAACATTGTAAGAAGACTCCTTTTGTTCCACATTCTTGCCAGCACTTGTTTTTTGATGATAGCCATTCTGACAGGTGTGAGGTGCTATCTCGTTGTGATTCTGATTTGAATTCCCCTGATGATTAGTGACATTGTGCATCTTTTCATGTGTGTTGGCCATATGTATGTCCTCTTTGGAGAATGTCTATTCCGCTCCTCTGCCCAGTTTTTAATTGGATTGTTTGGGGTTTTTTGGTGTTAAGTTGTATGAGTTCCTTATGTATTTTGGATATTAACCCCTTATCTATGTCATCAGATATCATTTGCAAATATCCTCTCCAACTCAATAGGCTGGCTGTCTTTGTTTTGTTGATGGTTTCCTTCACTATGCAAAGTTTTTAGTTTGATGTAGTCCCATTTTTTTGTGTTGCGCTTGCCCTAGGAAACATATCCAAAAAAATATTGCTAACAAAACCAATGTCAAAGAGTGTACTGCCTGTTTCCTTCTAGAAGTTATGGTTTCAGGTCTTACATTTAAGTCTTTAATCTATTTTGAGGTTTTTGTTTTGTTTTGTTTTTTTAAGATTTTATTGGGGAATCGGGGAAGGGGAACAGACAAGTTGCTGTCCTTTTGTTCTTCAGTCTAGTTGTGGAGGACGTCGCTTCACTGGCCCATGTTGGTTTTATCATTGTCCTCTTCCCGTGTGAGGCAGTTGCTCGCTGGCCACTGGACCACTTACGGCGGCTCACGAAAGCGCATGCCCGCTGCCAGCCAGCCCCACTGCAGCCTACGCCTATGCCGTCACCAGCAACTCACGGCAGCCCATCTCCAGGTCGAGCTGTTGTTCACCATCTTAGCTGTAGAGGGCGCAGCGTCACTGGCCCTCATGTGGGATCCGAACTAGGGCCCAGCTGCTCAGAGCTGGCGTCCCAAGCCAAGTCATAACCAACGTGCCACTTGGCCAGCCCGATTTTGAGTTTTTTTTAATATGGTAAGAAAGTGGTCCAGTTTCAGCTTTTTGCATTTATCTGTCCAGTTTTCCCAACACTACTTATCGAAGAGACTATCTTTACCCCATGTATATCCTTGCCTCCTTTGTCATAAATTGACCACATGAGTAAGGATTTATTTCTGGGTTCTCTGTTCTATTCCACTGATCTATAATGCCAGTACTTCACTGTTTTGATTATTGTAGCTTTGTATTATAGCCTGATATCAGGAGTGTGATACTTCCCACTTTGTTCTTTCTCAAAGTTTCTTTGCTAACTGGGGTCTTTTGTGGTTCCATAAACTTTAGGATTAACTAATTACTCTAGTTCTGAGAAGAATTCCATGGGTATTTTAATAAGGATTGCACTGAAGCTGTGTATTGCTTTAGGTAATAGGACATTTTAACAATATTAATCCTTTCAGTCCATGAGCATGGTATAGCCTTCCATTTTTTTGGATCTTCTTTATAAACCAGATCAATCTTTGTTGTGGGAGACTGTCCTGTGTATCGTAGAATGTTTAGCAACATCCTTGGCCTCTACTAATTAGATACCAATAGCAGTCCCATTATGATGTCTAGACATTATGAAAAGCCCCTTGGGGGCAAAATTGCTTCTGGTTGAGAACTACTGATCTAGTTCCTTGGCTTTAGATTCTAGCTATATACACAGGCACATGCATAAGTTGTCTATAG